TGTCACTTGGAGTAAACCCCCCCTGCAACCCTGATTTGCATTTGTATAGCTCACAGCATGTTCATTTACATGTTAAAGCCTCCCCTAGAATTCCATGGGGGGGAGGCATGGGAGGAACACTGCCTAACAAAGTCCACGTCAATTTCTGACAATTTACGGGAGTTTTCGGCGAAGCCTGCAAATTGTCGTAAACTGCCGCTAACCTGAAGTTCCACGACAATCTACAGTGCATACATATTGACGAAAATCCCACTTTTCATGCAGTGGCAGTAGTGCTATCGCCATAGTGTTCCGCTTGTTTCATGCATATAAATAGCTTTATTATAATTATGCAGGGAGTTTTACAGATTATATTGACACTGCAATGTAAGTAGAACTGAAGAGGAAAAACAGGAAAAAAAGGAGAAAAGATGAAAGAAAGAGAAGTTAGAAGGGAGAGAATGATAAAACATCTTCAGTCTGCTTTAACACCTGCAAAGAGATGGAAAAAGAACAGCACAACCAACAGACATGGTACGAGACATACAATAAAGTAACACCTAGCTACTATCGCTGAAGTAGTAATATTTAATCTGACATGTATACTGTGGTACCTGAAGATCAGAATATGAGCTTTCTGAATGGAAGTGAATCTCTGAGTACCTGGAACCAAGAACCTGTAGTTGTTTGTGAAAGTGCACTTGTGCATGTAAACTTTTTACAAAGAAAAAATGCTCAATAGTGGTTGTGAAGAGCCAAAGAGGCACCCCCCCAGAGCACCAAGGCACGCGCCGGGGGACCTAAAGCCCCAGACGCCCAAAGGGACCCCAAGAGTGAAGGCCCCAAGGAGGGGACAGCCCCGGATATCCGACCACCACCAAGGGAGGAGGAGAGACAGCCCCGAGGAAAACCCCCAGCCACCGCAATGCCGGAGCCCCCAGGAGCTGTGGGGGCTCGTCCGCGGGCTCCGCTGGCAGCCAGCTACCCCAAAGTGAATCCGGCACTTGGCCCCAGGGATCCGAGGCCCCAGGGGCACCCGACCCCCAGACAGGGGCCCCAGCTGGGCCCCGGCTGGCCGGGCCAGCTCCACCAATGCACACCGGGGTCATGGGGTGTGAGAAGACCCTATCCTCCCTGCGCCTGCCAGGGGGTAGGGGTATATATATATATATATATATATATATATATATATATATATATATATATATATATATATATATATATATATATATATATATACACACTCACCGGCCACTTTATTAGGTACCCCATGCTAGTAACGGGTTGGACCCCCTTTTGCCTTCAGAACTGCCTCAATTCTCCGTGGCATAGATTCAACAAGGTGCTGGAAGCATTCCTCCGGGAGTTTGGTCCATATTGACATGATGGCATCACACAGTTGCCGCAGATTTGTCGGCTGCACATCCATGATGCGAATCTCCCGTTCCACCACATCCCAAAGATGCTCTATTGGATTGAGATCTGGTGACTGTGGAGGCCATTTGAGTACAGTGAACTCATTGTCATGTTCAAGAAACCAGTCTGAGATGATTCCAGCTTTATGACATGGCGCATTATCCTGCTGAAAGTAGCCATCAGAAGTTGGGTACATTGTGGTCATAAAGGGATGGACATGGTCAGCAACAATACTCAGGTAGGCTGTGGCGTTGCAACGATGCTCAATTGGTACCAAGGGGCCCAAAGAGTGCCAAGAAAATATTCCCCACACCATGACACCACCACCACTAGCCTGAACCGTTGATACAAGGCAGGATGGATCCATGCTTTCATGTTGTAGACGCCAAATTCTGACCCTACCATCCGAATGTCGCAGCAGAAATCGAGACTCATCAGACCAGGCAACGTTTTTCCAATCTTCTATTGTCCAATTTCGATGAGCTTGTGCAAATTGTAGCCTCAGTTTCCTGTTCTTAGCTGAAAGGAGTGGCACCCGGTGTGGTCTTCTGCTGCTGTAGCCCATCTGCCTCAAAGTTCGACGTACTGTGCGTTCAGAGATGCTCTTCTGCCCACCTTGGTTGTAACGGGTGGTTATTTGAGTCACTGTTGCCCTTCTATCAGCTCCAACCAGTCTGGCCATTCTCCTCTGACCTCTGGCATCAACAAGGCATTTCCGCCCACAGAACTGCCGCTCACTGGATGTTTTTTCTTTTTCGGACCATTCTCTGTAAACCCTAGAGATGGTTGTGCGTGAAAATCCCAGTAGATCAGCAGTTTCTGAAATACTCAGACCAGCCCTTCTGGCACCAACAATCATGCCACGTTCAAAGTCACTCAAATCACCTTTCTTCCCCATACTGATGCTCGCTTTGAACTGCAGGAGATTGTCTTGACCATGTCTACATGCATAAATGCACTGATTTGCTGCCATGTGATTGGCTGCTTAGAAATTAAGTGTTAACGAGCAGTTGGACAGGTGTACCTAATAAAGTGGCCGGTGAGTGTATATATATATATATATATATATATATATATATATCCATCCATCCATTATCTGACACGCTTTATCCTGAGTGGGGTCCCGAGGGATGCCTATCTCCAGCTGTCTACGGGCGAGAGGCGGGGCCATCGCAGGGCAACACAGAGACAAACAACCACTCACACACACACTCACACCTAAGGAGAATTTAGAGAAGCTATTAACCTAACATTCATGATTTTGGACTGTGGGAGGAAGCCGGAGTACCCAGAGAGAACCCACGCATGCTCAGGGAGAACATGCAAACTCCATGCAGAAAGACCCCGGGCCAGGAATCAAACCCAGAACCTTCTTGCTGCAAGGTAGCAGTGCTACTCACTGCTCCACTAATCAGCCATCTATATCTATATATATATATATATATATATATATATATATATATATATATATATATATCTATATATATATATATATATATATATATATATATATATATATATATATATATATATATATATATATATATATATATATATATATATATATATATATATATATCTGACCTATATATATATATCTATATAGATATATATATATATACATATATATAGATATATATATACATATATATACATATACACTATATTGCCAAAAGTATTTGCTCACCCATCCAAATTATTGGAATCAGGTGTTCCAATCACTTCCATGGCCACAGGTGTATAAATTCAAGCACCTAGGCATGCAGACTGTTTTTACAAACATTTGTGAAAGAATGGGTCGCTCTCAGGAGCTCAGTGAATTCCAGCGTGGAACTGTGATAGGATGCCACCTGTGCAACAAATCCAGTCGTGAAATATCCTCGCTCCTAAATATTCCACAGTCAACTGTCAGCTGTATTATAAGAAAATGGAAGTGTTTGGGAACGACAGCAACTCAGCCACGAAGTGGTAGGCCACGTAAACTGACGGAGCGGGGTCAGCGGATGCTGACGCGCATAGTGCGAAGAGGTCGCCAACTTTCTGCAGAGTCAATCACTACAGACCTCCAAACTTCATGTGGCCTTCAGATTAGCTCAAGAACAGTGCGCAGAGAGCTTCATGGAATGGGTTTCCATGGTCGAGCAGCTGCATCCAAGCCATACATCACCAAGTGCAATGCAAAGCGTCGGATGCGGTGGTGTAAAGCACGCCGCCACTGGACTCTAGAGCAGTGGAGACGCGTTCTCTGGAGTGACGAATCGCGCTTCTCCATCTGGCAATCTGATGGACGGGTCTGGGTTTGGCGGTTGCCAGGAGAACGGTACTTGTCTGACTGCATTGTGCCAAGTGTAAAGTTTGGTGGAGGGGGGATTATGGTGTGGGGTTGTTTTTCAGGAGCTGGGCTTGGCCCCTTAGTTCCAGTGAAAGGAACTCTGAATGCTTCAGCATACCAAGACATTTTGGACAATTCCATGCTCCCAACTTTGTGGGAACAGTTTGGAGCTGGCCCCTTCCTCTTCCAACATGACTGTGCACCAGTGCACAAAGCAAGGTCCATAAAGACATGGATGACAGAGTCTGGTGTGGATGAACTTGACTGGCCTGCACAGAGTCCTGACCTCAACCCGATAGAACACCTTTGGGATGAATTAGAGCGGAGACTGAGAGCCAGGCCTTCTCGTCCAACATCAGTGTGCGACCTCACAAATGCGCTTCTGGAAGAATGGTCAAAAATTCCCATAAACACACTCCTAAACCTTGTGGACAGCCTTCCCAGAAGAGTTGAAGCTGTTCTAGCTGCAAAGGGTGGACCGACGTCATATTGAACCCTATGGATTAGGAACGGGATGTCACTTAAGCTCATATGTGAGTCAAGGCAGGTGAGCAAATACTTTTGGCAATATAGTGTATATAGATATATATGTATCTCTTTCTATGTATAAATAGACTGTGAAAATACTGTAAAATACAATAAAAATGTCCACAGCTGTATAGATTATTTATTGTTCAAATGCAGAGTATTTACATTTGTAAAAACACTGTACAGTACAGTATTTTATTTTTTAGACATATTTTGAAGTCTGTCACTTATTCTTTTATTTTTATACACTTTTTAAGGAAAAAACTTTGATGACCATTTTTGCTGTAATCTTTTGTTGCTGTAACACTGGATTTTCTTTTCTCTCTCTCTCTCTCTGTATATATAAATATATATATATTTTATTTTATTTTTTATTTCTTTATTTATTTTTTATTTAGTGTGCAGATCTGGCTACTACACAAAGTTATCCCTCAGGCCGTCCGTCGATTCAAACTAAAATACGCCACAGAGTGTTGAGGTATCGTTGTAGCAGGTTGACCTCCCCAAGATGGCGGCCGTAATTCCTGCGCTGCAACAGTCGATGCGGGGTTATGGCCACCGGTGACGTACTTCCGCCATGGCTTCAGCCTTCTTAAGAGGTTTGACATTCTCGGACCGATCAAGTGAGTTTCTGTAGCATTATCATTTTAACCTAATTAGATCCTTTTAGATTATTAAATATTAATGTTTTAATAACAGGATTTATTCTGTGCTCTAAAACTGTCACATACCGGTTTTATTTGAAATCCTCCACCGGAAGTCCTATCAGCGTCGTCAGCTTGCCGTGGATGACATCATGGAGGTCTGTGTTTCTGCGCCATGACTCCCTCAGCCAGCTGCTCAGTCTAAACAGGAGGTAAGAAGGAGCCGCTGCACCTCCTGCTGCTCGGGTTCTGGTTCTGGTTCTGGTCCTGGTCCGGTTTCTGCTCATGGTTCTGGTCCTGGTTCTTGTTCTGGTGGCTTTAGTGGGTCAGAGTCGCTGCTGTTCGGTGCCTCAGAGGAACCAGCTGTGAGGACAGACTGACCTGTTGGTTCTGGTCCTGGTCCAGGTTCTGGTCCTGGTTCTGGTCCTGGTCCCGGTTCTGAACCAGCAGTGAGGACAGACTGAGCTGTTGGTTCTGCAGGATTAGAACCACATTCTAGAACCGCTGGTTCTGTTCGGTTTATTATGTTCGGTGTGAGATCAAACAGATTGTTCCGACCGACCCAAATGTTTGATTAATTATTTATTAATAATTTATTAATGGATTAATAATTATTAATAATCAGCCTCATTCTGATTATGTGTTAAATTATGTCATTAAAAAATTATTATATTATAATCAAACAAAGGAAACATTTTCCTGATTGTGGAATAAAGATAAAGGTTTAATAATGTAGATATATGAATCCTAGCTTCACTCTTTTTATTTATTTATTCATTTATTCTAATATTTCTTCTTTATTTATTATTCTTTTTTCTCCAGCTTTATAAAAACTGATTTTTCTTGATTCTGTTTAATTTTTAATAATCTGTGAAAACTTTTAGAAGCTGCTGAGAACATTTCTGCTTTTCTTCTCCTAAATCCTTCCTCTGATTGATCATCATCATCATCATCCTCAGGACCGCTGGAGGTCATCAGGGTTCTAATGACTGGGTTCTAATCCAGATTAAGAGCAGAAATGTTCCCTCTACCAGGACTGGCACATCTAGGTGACTCAGATCTTCATAGTCAATAAATTCTCTGGATGAACATCTGGAGGTTTTCAGTTTTTCTTCTTTTCCATCTTCAGATTCTTTGAAGGACAGAAAGAAAAAGTTTTATTCAGAATAAACTTAATCCAGAGGCTGGAAAAAGATCATAAACTGGCTGCTGATAAACACGGATTTACCCCTCAGCAGGGATGGAAACTAACTAAGTACATTTACTTGATTATTGTACTTAAGTACTTTTTAAAAATTATTTTTATTTTATTATTATTTTTATTTTTTTTCCATTCCCAGGATTAGTTTCTGTTGCTGTTTTTCATCCATCATGGCGGATAGCAGCCATTAGGACTGAATCTAGACGCCACTGATCTACAGATTTAATGACGTTCCACTGATGAGAGAAACTCAGAATAGATATTATTAGTAGTTTATCGTTTTATTAAGGCGTTAGTTGTTGCCATGAGGCTAAGTTGTTCAGTAGGATGAGTCTCAGATCAGAGTTCTAGTTTCTAATAGATTCAACTTTTAACCTCTTTTCTATAGAGGAAAAAAGAGGAGAATAGAGACTCTCCTGGTTTCTATTTGGTTTGTTTTAAAATAAGAAATAAAAATCCAATTAACTATCCTTATTTCTTGTGGTATTTTTATCCCGTCGTTCTTTACAGACGCACCTATACATCAGGAGGTTTCTGAAAGTTAAAGGTTCTTTTAAATTACTCTGAAAAAATTATACACAATTGCTCTGATACTTGAAAAGTGTATTTATATTTTGGAATATTTAACTGCTTTAAAAAGTTATTAATACTTTAACTTTAGTAGATGTTTGACTTTTACTTGTGGTTGAGTAAGATTTGACTACGAGTATCAATACTACTTAAGTACTACAGCTGAGTACTTTAAAGGCATTAAATACATTCAAGGATTATTCTAACATTTCTAAAATAAATCTTCTCCTGATCAAATATACAATCTGAACATTTTCTGCCTTCTGAACAAACATTTAGCTCTAAACCTAGTCTGGGATAAAAATGCTGATGTTAAAAATAGGGGCGGATTTAGGAAATGTGGGGCCCTAGGCAAAGACAGGCAGGGGGCCCTCTGAATGGAGAACACATAGATCAGCCCCATTCTCCAGATGTAGAAATGTTAATAGAATAGACATCCATTATCTGTTCTAGGTTGTGTCCCTCTCTTCTTGTCCCTTTTCTTCTTGTTTTCCTCTCTATGTTTTGTACTCAGCTGACTTTTCATGCTGTCTCTAAAGGAATGAAAGATTTTTTCCAAGCACTAAGCTCACTTAGCTGATTGCTCCTTCCTGTGTTTCCAAAAAGGCCAAAGTAAATAACCCAGTCCTTCTTTTCACTGTAGACAAGCCATGATCTGCTTATCTGTTCTCCATTTTTCATTTGGATGAAATAATAGCTGCATGAATCATGACAGCAGACAAGATAGAGGAGAGCAGGAGGCGGGGTTACCAATCTACTCGCTCTGGAGAGCAGAGTTCGCTGCTTTTAGATGTTGTCTCCAAAGTCTCCAGTAGCAGAAAAAAGTCTCTAGATTTGGCGCTAGGAGCTTTTTAGAAATCAAAGTGCTAGAGGGGTCTGAAAAGTGGCTAAATATAGCGACTAAAGCGCTAAGTTGGCAACACTGCTCTTTGCATGGTTTGTTTTCAAATGGTTTGCTGCTGTCTGTTTGGACCTTTCTGAACATGTGCAGCAAATGGACTGATCCAATATGGTGGACACTGAAGGGGGGCGGGGGGTGAGACACACTTAATATTATCAGCGTTCTGATGGCATTTTAGCCAAAGGATTTTTATCAAAAACATTGATTGAGTTTTATGGGGCCCCCAGGAACTCGGGGCCCTAAGCAACTGCCAATTATTGCCTAATGGTGAATCCCCCCCATGTGTTAGAAAAATTTAACAGGCAGTTTGCTCTGATTACTCCTGTTTTTAGCCGCACCTCCTCCTGCTTCCATGCAACCTGCTGTAACCATGGCAACCTCTGCAGGTAGATGCATTCACCACAGTGAGTGGAGTATTTGAAATGACACCGTTTTAAAAGTGAGAGGAACATTCGGCTCCACCTGCAGCTCTGAACTGACTCATTATGCAGATATTAGCTGCATCATTTTAATAAAGACGCTAAAATGATCAAAACTATAAACCAAACCCAAAAGTAACCCTCTGGTTTCTCTCTGTTCCTCAGGAGGGGAGTCATGCAGCAGAAGGTGTGTCCCAGAGGTCCAGCTTCCTTCCTCCTGGACAGAAACGGTCGGGCGTGCGGCGCCGTCACAGACTCAGCCACTTCCTGTGAGCTCCCCTTCCGCTGCCCCCGGTGCGGCGAGCAGGAGCGTTTCCGCAGCCTGGCGTCCCTGAGAGCACACCTGGAGTACCGCTACTCCTACCGCTCCCCCGATGTCATCTCCGGAGACTTCAGCATCACTGGGAAACACCCCGACCCGCTGACGGCGGCGATCCCCTGGCAGGACATGAGCCTCCCGACCCGCAGGGGGCAGCAGGGCGCCACCAGGCCGCCTCATTTTCGCTCGCTGAGCGACAGCAGAGACAGCGGCTTCCTGCAGCCTTACGGCTCGGTGAGGAGGCGCACCCAGAGCGTAGGGGTGGGGACGCAGGCGGAGGAAGAGGAGGGAGAGGAAGGAGGGGAGGATGAAGATACAGGAGAGGAAGAGGAGGATGATGATGATGATGATAAAGGAGCAGATGAACCCAGGATTAAGTCAGAGCTTCCAGTGTCCAATAAAAAGCCAGAAACTGGCCTCCAGCATCACCGCTCATTCCCTCCTGGTTCCATCGCCCCACCTCTGGACATGGACCCAGAACCGGACCAGGACCAGGACCAGGACCTGGACCTGGACCTGGACCTGGACCCGACCGGTAGGATCCAGTTTGACTCCTTTAACTTTAAGGTAACAACATGGTGATAACCCGCCTCCTCTGTTTCCTCCAGCTCAGAGCTCCTTCTCCGGCCTGGAGACGGCGGCCGCCTCAGCGGCGGTACGGCGGCGGCTGGCCGGCATCCTGCGGGCCGCGGACAGCACCATGCAGCGCCGGCTGGCCAAGCTGAGCACGGAACTGGCCAGAACCGACACGGAGCTGCTGTGTGAGCGCGCCCACTCCCAGCATCTGGCCCAGGAGAGGCAGGAGGTGGCAGACAGGCGGCGCTCTCTGAGCCGGCAGGTGGACGTGGCCGTCATGGTGATCGCCGCTCTGAGGGAGCAGCTCTACGCCTCAGAGAACGAGCTGGAGCGCAGAGAGAGGTGGGAACACCTGGACGGCCTGCAGGTCAGAACCTGGTTAGAACATGTGGCCTGATGCTCTGCTTGTCCAGGGAGGTGATCACCATCCAGGGGTTCCTGGAGGCGGCGGCGCGCCAGGAGACCAGCGGGAAGGTCCGGATCCAGCGGTTCATCGAGGGCCTGCTGGGCCGCATCGCCCTGGCTGAGAAACTGGTGGAGTTCTACCAGGTGAACGGCAGCCCGGCCCAGTGTGAGCGCTACCAGGTACCGCAGCCAGTCTAGGTCACATAGATCTGCTGCTTTCAGCTGAGTGGCACAATGTTCTTCTTCTTGGTCTATTTTTTTGTTTTTTATGCTGTTTTTGTTTGTTTTTAATTGATTTAACGATGTTTTGTTTGGTCAGCTGTATTTTTTAACCTTGTATTTTTATGTGAAGTCTTTTTTTCTTCCTCTTGTTGCTGGAATCAAATCCTGCTTTGTTTTCTCTCCCAGCAGCAGCAGCAGGCTGATCATTGCCGCCACAGAATCACTAAAAGCAGGTGAGTTTTTATAATAATTGATTAAATATAAGAAAATAATCCAATGTTTTTAATCTGAAATCAAGACTTTTTATTCTTCTGAATCCAAAGATTTAGTCATGAATCAGTTTTTTTTAAGCTGTAGAAACGACGACCGGCTGTGGGATAAATTTCCAGGATAATTTCCAGGAATGTTTATCTTTAAAGAATCCCTGCAGGAAACATGTTGGAGTACCAATATGGCCGCCAGTGGCTTCACTTTTTTCTGGCAACCAGTAATCCAGTGAATAAATAGAGATGAGTGGTCACATGTTGGACAGACTGAGTTTATCTCTGGTCCAGATCACCACTCCTCCACCGCCGTGCTGACAGTGTTTCTCATGGTGGAACCTCTGAGCCTTTGATCCGATAACTTTGATCCAGGTTGATTCCTGCTGAACGGAAACCTTCTGTGATGCTTTCAGGTCCGCAGCAGGTCCGATCTTCTCCTCTGGTTTCCATGACAGCAGGACTCAGTCCTCCTCCCAGTTCGGCGCCGCTCCTAACGCTGCCGTGGAGCGCGAGCGGCAGGAGTGCCTGGCCCAGTCCTCCCGGCTGTTCTGTCGACCGGAACACAGAGACGACATCTGGAACCACCAGCGGCGCCGGTCCACCGGGTACGAGGCCTAGAACCGGAGAGATGGGGTCTGGTTCTGAGACCCAGTGGGTCCTCAAACCACCAGGCCCACATGAACAGAACCTCATCAGAACCAACTTTCTGCCTAGAATATTGTAAATAAAACTTTACGGGTAAAAAAATTAACTTTTATCAGAACCTTGGGGTTCTTAGTAGTTCTGCTGGTACCTTTAGGTTCTGGATATTTGTCTAAGTATGAATCTGAACCCGGAAGAACCCGGTCCAGATCATAATGTCCTTCAGAACCAACAGATGTCACTACTGGACCATGTTGATACCAAGCAGTTGGTACCGTCGGTTTGGGTTCTCTGGTTCTTTCTACATCAGCACAAACGGTTCTGATTGGATCATAGTCGGTGTCGTCTGGTTCTACAGATTAGATCTTTAATATTTGATCCTGAAACAGAACCAAGGAGATTTTAATCTCTTCTGGTCCAACCCTCAGATTATCAGATTATTTCAGCATCTAGTTGATAAATTCTTCCTCATTTTTTCCATCCAAGCAGCCGGATCTTCCTGGAAGGTTCTGATGGTTCTTCTCTGGGCTCGGCCTGCTTTTCTCCTCTTTTCAGTCCAGTTTTCACCGCCATGATTCTTCTGTGTTGATTTAAAGAAGCTGCTTGTCTTCCTGAGACCTGATCGGGTTACAATCAGGATCCTGACAGGACCTGGAAATCCTGGAATTCCATCAGGCAGATTTACTGAGCGGAGGATCTTCAACAATCCGTCCTGCTGTCCAGGGATGAAGATCAGGCATCTTCATCATGAGAAACCATTGATGCAGGAATCAGTTTATCTGCATGAAAAATGTTCTGGAACTTCTTTACATTGAGAATCCTTGAAAGTCCTTCAGTTGTTAGAGAGATCCTCGAAACTGCAAAAAAACAAAATCTAAATAAGTCATTTTTTTCATAAAATAATTGCATTTGTTCTTGCATTGAGTTAGCAAGTGAAACACCTGCAAATCATCTTATTTACCTGCTCAAGTTAAGGATAAATAAGGATAATTTTAAGAATGTTTTACTTGTTTCCAGATTGTTTTTGCAGTGTAGTTCAAAGAAAAGTCCAAGGAGAAACTTCAGGAACCCAAACACTGCAAAAATATAGAAATAAGTACAAATGTCTTAAGTGTATTTAGCCTTAATTTGAGCAGGTAAATAAGATGATCTGCCAATAGAATTATTATTTTTACTCTTAAAATAAGATAATTAGATCATATTAACTTGGAATGAGACAATGCAATTGTTTTTTTTTCTTATTCTAAATATTAATTGTCTTGTTCCATTGGCAAAAAATCCCTAAATTCAAGACAAAATGCACTTATTTAAGGAAAAGGTAAAGTTTATTTTTCTTTCAGTAGATGTTGGTTCTGATCAGTAGTTGGAATCGGATCCATTTCTAAGCAGAACTTCAGAACATGTAATATATCAGGTGACAGATCGATTCTTTGGGGTCCAATTGGGTTCATGAAACCCAGAACAGAACCAGGTCTAGTTTCTGTTTGTCATCTGAAAGTAAACGGACCTCTCAGCCTTCAGGCTCATCAGGATTGTTCTGAAGGCCCAGAAAGACGTCAAAGGTTCCTGATCTCCTGCAGCCCAGAACTTTGTACCAGAAGCAGCAAATGTGGCGTCTTCATCTGGAGAACAGAATGTTCTGATGTTCAGCTTGGACCCAGAAACCCAGCGGTACCCACGGCGCCGTGTTGATCCGTCTGCAGCGAAACCTTCCTGTCTGATCCGAGAAGGAAGCAGGATTCAGTCGAAATGGATCAGAACAAAGTTCTACACTGGAAAAAATCAAAACCTAAATAAGTAATTTCTTCTGAAAATAAATGCATTTGTTCTTTGAGGAGGTAAAAGAGACATTTTGTCAATTGAACAAGACAATTTATACTTACAATAAGAAAAAAACAATTGCATTGCCTTATTCAAGTGCATTTTATCTATCTTATTTTAAGAGTAAAAATACTCATTCTATTGGTAAACTGTCTCATTTACCTGCTCAAATGAACACTTTATAGTCAGATTATTTTAAAAACTAAATTTCCAGCCAATAGTGTAAATGGAATCCAGGACAAGACCTTATTACCTTTGGAACATTAAAAAAATATGGATATTTTGATGGAAAAAATTAATGTCAGTATAATAACAAGAAACGCCAACTTACCAGAATATGTTAAGAAAAATAACAAAAGTGCTTCTAGAAGAAATTCATGAAAAACTCTCTGAGAGAAAGAAACACATTTTTTTTTGGTCCAACATAACCTTAGAGGCATTAATGCTGATGTTCTGTTAAAATCCTTTATAATCTGAAAGGTTGAACGGAGCCCCTGACCTCTGACCTTTCCCATAATGCATCCTGTTGAAGTCTGTCCAACATTTTAAAGTTCTCACTGAGGTGTTGAATGTTTCCAGGACGGTAGAACCTCTGATCTTCTCCATGTTGTTCCACGTTTAGCTGCAGACTCGGTGTATCTAGAAGTTGCTGTAATCTGTGTGTTTTCTAGCAGTCAAAGGTCTATTTTAGACAGAGAGCGGATCTGTTTGGTTCCGGTCCAGGAGGAGCGTGTAGCTGACAATCAGCTGAGTCCATGAAGGTAGAGCAACATGTGGTGTCGTGTGTTTTTTTCTCGGCCCGGTTCGGTGACGGTCCTGACTCCGGACCGTCTGTGAAGGTCCGGCTGGAGGAGGCCGTCTCTGGTTCTGTGCCTTCTCTCCACAACTCTGTAAACGCTGTGAAGATCTGTGGAAACCTGTCAGTGATGTCCTCTGGAGAATAAAGAACAACATGAGAGCAACGTCGCCTCTGAGTTCTGCTTTATTTGGGGTTCCTCTGCAGGTCCAGATGTTCCACAGGAGACATAAAGGTTCAGAACCGGTTTAATCTGGAACCAGGATGATGATCTGAGGAGCAGGCGGCTCCAGAGAATCTTCAGATTGAGGACGGAGGTCAGGAAACAATCACTGATCTGATTAAGAACAAAGATGGAGGACATGGAAGTATTCGTCCATCTGCAGAGCAGAACATCTGGAGGAAGGTCAGGTAGCAGCTTTAACTGGAGAGCAGGGATCTCTGATCCTTCATCCAGAACAACCGTCCATCAGCAGCTGGCAGAACCTCATGGAGCAGGTCTGGAGTACCTTCACCCAGCTCTAACTCTAGAGTTATAGTTTTTCAGTTTTTCATATTTTAAATGATCAGTGTCAGTTCCTCTTATAGTTTCCGCTCTCATGGAGATACAATAAATCTATTTGCATTCCCTAGAATATGTTGTTTTACAATACACAGAATATCAGCATATCAGATAAAAAAAATAAGAGTGGTTTTTACTTGTGTTTACCTCTGCACAATTCTATTTCTTCTAAAGAAAATGTCTGATAAATACACATAAAACAGACCTATTTAGATTATATTTGGTTAAATATTTACCTTCCATCTTAGTCACTGGTAATGTAACCCTTTTCAAAGTGTTAAATTGTCCCAATTTTACATTATTCAGAGCAACTGATGCTTCAAACATTGATAAACAGCATCTTGTGTGTTTAGTGCTTATAAAATGTGTATAAATGTAGCAAAAAATGCTGTTTTCTCTTTAAATGAAATGCACCCTGATGCTAAAGTCAAGCATAAAAATAAAAAAAAATAGGAGCAAGCATATTTTTGACATCAGACCAATTCAACTTCAGTCCAATAGTGTCCCTACCAAAGCTGAAATCAAACCTACGCTCTTGAATGGGACAGAAACTGGAGGTTTGCTCCACTTTCTGTAGAGATGTAGGAAAATTTCCAGCCACTAGATGGAGCCATTTACCTTCTTATTGCTACAGCCAAACCTTTGGGCCTCAGAGGAGGAGGTTTGTTAGGATCAAAAGTCCAATAAACTGAGACATTTTAATCCGTGTATCATTCGTTCTTTCTATTTTCAATTGCCAATCAAAAAAAAAAAAAAAAAATGACTGGTTATTTTGTTTTTAGTTTTTTATCGTTAAACCAAAAACGAAAAAAGGATTGGTTTTTCATATTTCAATTCTAAGCTCAGATCAAGAATACGAAATGGAAAAACGGACAGCAACGCAGAATTTGATTTTAATATTTAATCGGTACAGTTTACATGACCCGGAAGTTTGGTGGAGCGTTAGCTAAAAAAACAATTGGCTTACTCCCACCACGTTCGATCAAACTGCACCAGATAAGGCAGTCGGACCTATCAGCCATGGACAGTTACGTTTTATTTCGAGGATCCAAGCGTGTGACTCTTGAGGAGGACATGACAACGGAGAAAATTTGCAGGATTTTCCAGGTATAACTTTTTTCTTGAAACTTTTCTGTGCACTGTACTTTTAACTAGCAACAACAAACAGCTTCTCGATCAACATAGTGTGTGGTTCTAGCGTCGCCATGGTAGCCACTTCATTACCCCAACTGCTGCGCAAAGAGCTATTTCCGGGTCACGTAAACTGTACCGATTAAATATTAAAAACAAATTCTGCGTTGCTGTCCGTTTTTCCATTTCGTATTCTTGATCTGAGCTTAGAATTGATATATGAAAAACAAATCCTTTTTTCGTTTTTGGTTTAACCATAAAAAACAAATAACCAGTCAATTTTTTGTTTTTTGATTGGCAATTGAAAATAGAAAGAACGAATGATACACGGATTCATTTTCAGTTTAAAGTTAATTCATTATTTTCCTCCTCTTCTTTTTTTTATTTTTATTTTTTATAATTGCCGATTAACTTGTCAGGTTTAAAGAAAGCAGCGTTTAAATGTCTGCAGGTTTTAGTTATTGGGATGTTTTTCTTCAAACAGGAATCCAGATTCAGATTGTAGAGATAAAAACAATGCTGCTTCATCATAATTAAGGGGTGTGACGGCCTAGTGGTGAATTTGAATCCTGAGGTTGTGAGTTCGATCCCCCACTCACCCTGGCTCCCTGAGCAAGGCCCTTAGCCCCTTAGTATATGAAAAAGTAAAAAAAATAAACGGAGGACAGGTCGGATTATCCAGCAGCTGGTTCTGACGGGTCACAGAACTCTGAACGGGCCACAGAGGTTCTGATCTTCACTAAAATAACAGGACGTCAAACAGTGATGTCATCACCGGGTTCAGACTGGTTAATCAGAGCTGATCAGAGAA